CTTCCTATAAAGTGGAGGAGGGGAAGGCGTTTTGAACACATTTCTACAACAGATAGCAACCAACATCGAGAAACCCGAAAAGTCAATGTGGACCGTTGCTAATCAGCTCCATGTGTCGAAGTCAGTGTTCAAACGAGAGATGCACGAAGACTGCAGACACAATTTCTACCTCATGAGAAAAAGGGCAATTCATAGTGAATAATGATCTTGTCGGAGAGCATTCTAAACAAAGACAAGCCCTTTCATGATCACACCAGCCTTGACATTTCTCCTCCTGACACTCCAAGTCCTATGGACTATCACGTCAGGAGCGTCGGTGAGAGGGTGACCAACAGGCATGCCCACAATATCAAGAACTCGCCGAAGGCTGCTATCGGAGAAAATCAAGGCCAACATAAATAAAAAGAAACACCTGATCAATACATGTAATGGCTTTAGAAGCCTCGTCAAGGCTGTAAATCAAACCTGATGGCTATTCTATTTAATAGTTTTGTGTGTGTATATCTGAACATATCTACGACATTCTGTAAAAAGATGATGTTTTCTCTGCTAAATAATATGATTACCTCAAACTAAAATTTGTTCTCCAATACCTGACGCTCCCTGTACATCGTGACGTTATGTTCATGATATATTTTGTAATATTGGTCCGTTATGGTCCAGAGAATTTTGCAGCACCTGAGGACATCAATATTAAATTTTCAAATTACCCCTGTTGTTAAGTATATGGACGTTAATGTCGGTTGTTTGATTTCTTTCATAGGAGTTTCGCGTATTTTGAGTGTTTTTCGTAGTATTTCCTGCATATTATTTCGGTGTTATGTTAATATTGTTTTAGTGACAATGTAACCGACGAATGAGTGTTGTGGTTGTCTGACTAATGTAAGAATCTAAATTTTCTGTTTTACTGTTTCAGATATAATCTCTATTTTTTGTATTATGATGATTACCTCAAATTCTTTAAACATTTATGTAATGACGGATTAATGTTATTAGTTTTGGCCAAATCATTAATTGATATATACCTACGAATTATAATTCGAATGGCTTTTCCAACAAAGTTTTTTTGCTTCTCTTGGGTGCATTTGGTTATAAGACAAAAGTTAATGTTTCTTTTATGTTTCATATCAACATTCTTTTTTATTCTATTTTTAAAACTAATTCTATTTACTCTAATATTTGGCTTTTTGAAGATTTTTTACGTTACCTATTTTTTTCTAAAATGTCTTTTTGTGAGACGATATATATATATATATATATATATATATATATATATTATATTTAATTCATCGAGTCTGATAGAAATATCAACAGAATGCAGAAAGAACTGGACGGCCGTTTCGTCTTATATTTGGGACTCATCAGCAGTGGGCATCCACTACCGAGAATTGAAACGGACAGTTTGCTTGACAACCTAACTGTCAGGGTTTCAATTCTCGGTAGTGGGTGCCCACTTAAAATCTGCTGATGAGTCCCAAATATAAGACGAACAATTTGTCCAGTTCTTTCTGCATTCTGTTGAGATTTCTATCAGACTCGATGAATTACTTAAATATAATTATCTCAAATCCTCCTAATAATTTCTATCATATATATACATTGTACCACTTTTGTATTGAGCCCTGTTTTAAATTAATATTTTGAACGCTAAAAATTTTACTATTACATTTATATATATATATATATATATATATATATATATATATATATATATATATATATATATATATATATATATATAAAAAAATTTAAAAATTACTAGAATTTAAGTTATTTTTAAGGGAAGCAGATTTTTTTAAATGAAAAGGTGCTCCATAGCTAGCTAGAAAGACAAGTGTCAAAAAATTAATAATTTTTCAATCAATCAATTTTTCTCTTGATCAACTTCAAAGTTTTGATGAGTTATATTCCTCGAAGCTTTCAAGGTGCTCTGTCAAGTTAAATATTTATTCATTCATGAAGTGATAAGAAAAAGAACAAGTAGGAAACGTTTATCAGTCTAACATGGTTCACTTCCATTAAAAAATTTAGATTGATAAGAGTTTTCCTGTTTGTTCTGTTATCTTATCATTCTGTCAGATTCTGACCCATCTTTGATTCGATCCTATATTTGATACCAACCCATTTATTGAATATATATATATATATATATATATATGTGTGTGTGTGTGTGTGTGTGTGTGTGTGTGTGTGAAAATATATAGAAAATAGGAAGGAACTGGTTAGGTTCCCAAAAAAATTCGCTTGAAGATGGAACAGAGCTTATTTTAACTCAATTTAATTTAAATAATTATATTGAAGTTTTCGGCTCTTGTTTTGAAACATGAGACTTCTTTTGTCGCGTTTTGGAATCATATTTTTAAATAAATAATTATATATATATATATATATATATATATATATATATATATATATATATATATATATTCAAGTAAATAAAAAGCAAGAATAGGTTTTTTAACCAAACATGCTAGCATGAAGATATGCTACATAAATATACATGATAGATAGATAGATAGATAGATAGATAGATAGATAGATAGATAGATAGATGTAAGCGATCTGGGAGAAAAACTGCATCAGGAGGTCACAATGACGGATCATCATTTCCACATACATTCTTATTGTTTAAGGTAGAGTCCACTAGTGTTATAAAATCCTTCGGAGAATTAAAGTAAGATATCTTTAATCATTTTTCGACACGATTGTTCAAAGTTTAATCTAACAATTAGACAATTTTACTGTTACACGATTTGAACAATTTTGCTGTAAGATTTTATATATATATATATATATATATATATATATATATATATATATATATATATATATATATATATATATAGATATATATAATATGTATATTTTTGTAGCATCAATCTTCATGATAGCATTGAAAAATCTAAACCTATTATTATCTATTTGCTTTTATTTTAATGCTCTCAAATTCATGGATAAACACTAGAAAAATTGATCCGTGAATTCGAGAGGATTAAAATACATAGATTATAGCTAGATCATTCATCCCAAATTGCTTGAATATATATATATATATATATATATATATATATATATATATATATATATATATATATATATATATATTAAATCAGTTAATGTATAATATTTATGCATTCTGTAAATTTACATTGAGCCCTGTTTTAAAAAATAAAAAGATATCAATAAGAACACCGGATTATATAACTTAATGTTCTTTCTTTTTATTATAATATATATATATATATATATATATATATATATATATATATATATATATATATAGTTTATGAAAACTAGGTAATCCAGAGAGCTCAATGTAAATTCAAAGCAAATAATTTAAATAAAAACAGACCACTTTAAGGTTCCATGTAATAAATTATTTTTACCACAGCCCTTTTAAAAGGACTGCGGATCATCAGACTTTTACTTCCAAACAAAAAATGAATCTAAATATATTTATATATATATATATATATATATATATATATATATATATATATGAAGTTTTAAACGGAACAATAGAAGCCTATCTTTTCAAAATGAGAGTTTTTTTTAATTGTTTCTATCTCCACGTGTTTATGCTTAGGTTTTGAACAAATGAAAAAATGAAAATCAGGGGGCATAACTGGCTATATATGTCGTATATGTCGACAAATTCTGTAGAATCTAAACAATGAAAATAATGGTTTTGGACTTGTTGATCAATAAGTAAACATTTTTCATCAACAAGTTCAAACCTATAAATAATTCATTGCATAAATAGATTCTACGAAATTCGCCTTAGCATAAACGACATATGTAGCCAGTGACGTCACTTAATTTCATCTTTTTCATTGGTAGAAAACATAAGCATCATCACGTGGAGATAGAAACAGTTAAAAAATGTTTGAAAAGGTAAACGAAACTGGTTAAAGTAAAAAAAAAAGTTTAAAAAAAAAGAAAAAAACAACAAATTATTTTTCTAAGAAACAAATACTGAAAATCCAATTGTAAGTATCAAAATTTTAATTCTCCTTTTTAAAAATTCATATATCATAAATTACTAGATTAAATATTTTTTCCAATTCTCATTTTAGTCTAGATAATATCTTATTACAAATATCTTTTGTAAAGAATATTTCTAATAATTTTTATTTACATATTTTTTTTACCTATACATATATATATAAAATAAGCATTCATTGTGTGTGTGTTTGTGTATGTGTGTGTGTGTGTGTGTGTGTGTGTGTGTGTGTTGTGTGTGTAAACTTGTGTTTAAATTGGTTTATAAAAATTTTATTTTAAAAATTATTCATATATATATATATATATATATATATATATATATCAGATATACCAATGTGTGTTGATAGATATGAGTTTTAAACTATGTTATATTTATAGATGTAAGTCCTCAATATCAAAGATAGAGTATGTGCAAATATATATATGTGCACATTGAACACGCACAGAGACGAAAGTCTGTTTCATGCTAAACGCATGGTCTGACGATTATCATAAAGCATGAAACAGACTGTAGTAATTGTGTTGACTTAATAAATTTTATATATATATATATATATATATATATATATATATATATATATATATATATATATAAACTACTTCTTAAAAAAGATCTTAAAAACAATTTAAAAGAGGCTGTTTAAACAACACAAAGACTGACCATAATTAACGAAAAAAAACAAAAAAAAACAAATGAAAACCACAGATGAAATTCATTTTCTTCTTAAAGAGTCATTCACTCATGTAGTTCACTACGACTAACAATCAGGGATTTTTTTCTACTGATGATGGCCATGCTGACCGAAGCTTGTCGACGAACCTAACTTAAATAATAAAACAAAAAAAATGTTAATATACAATCCGGTATGTCTGTAAATATTTTTTATATATAATTCTAGCAAAATTGTTAAGCGTTTTGTTTTCTGAATTAAGTTGGATAAAGTAGGACTGATGACCTTATATAAACCAAATGAAAAAGCTCTTAGTAATATAATTCGTCGTGAGAAAAATATGAATCTTAGGCCGTTGAGTTGGATAAGCGACAGCAGATAGACAAACTGAAAAACATCTTTTTTCTGATGATTTTATTAGAAATTGTTTGAATAATTTTTTTGCTCACTAAAATATATATATATATATATATAATATAATATATATATATATATATATATATATATATATATATATATAAAATTAATAAAAATTTTTAAAAACAAAAAAGTTCCTTAAATGCAATTCATTTTAAAAACATAATTGCATTTAAGGATTTTTTTTTGTTTTTTTTCCAATTTATTAATATATATATATATATATATATATATATATATATATGTATATGAAGAAATATAGTCTTAAGATGTGCTATATTTATGGGATAATGTGCTCAATATACGATTGCATCCAGCATGAAACAGACTGTGTTGTTTTCTAAGTGTTGACTTTTATGTTCATTATATATATATATATATATATATATATATATATATATATATATATATATTAGATATCGTACATTGAGGGCTGGTGTTAATAAAATTGTGGGCGATGTATTGTAATATAACATAATTATTAAGTGTATATTAATAAATGTAGATATTATCCCTCACCGGTAGCACAACTCGGAGTTTCCCGCACAGCGCAGTCTGTAGGTGCTAAGTAAAGTAGAGTCTTTAACCAGCACCTGAACCTCTACACATTTTCGGTGCTGTTTGTTACCAAGTGATCATAATATGTGTATTTATTTATTTATATATATATATATATATATATATATATATATATATATATATATGTGTGTGTGTGTGTTGTGTTCGTGCGTCCGTGTGTGGCAGGGGCAAACTCATATGTTCGAGGTGCATTTTTTTTTTGTCTTGGGAAATTGTTTTATGTTAATTACAAAACCGGAAGTTTATCCACAAATGGACATAATTAAATTAAGATGTGTTTTATAATATCTTTCGTTAAACACAATATGGCTTCCAAAGTCATTTACAACGTTGAAGCTAAAAATCTTATACATTTAAACATCTTATGCGCAAAATCATTATCTTTTTCAAGTTGAATCTTTCTGGAAATAAACTGACATTCGGATACGATCACCTCATCATCAATTATAATGTTTTTCTACCTAAGGTATCATCATAAGGTGCATCTGTTTGTCTTAGTACTAAAACAGAATTATTTACGACTATTTGGTCAATTCGTTTTGATTAAAGATTGAAAATCGAGCAGGAAAACTAAAACAACCGATCAGGGGATTCGAAACCCTAACCAAATATTCCTTTTCCGGTTTTTTTTTTTTTTATCTAATACAAAAATAAATCGACTTTGCATATTTTAATATTTATTACAAAACTATCAGTTTAAGCGTAAGATTTCAAACGCAGCATTTCGTCTGTCCATCGGGATAATTTAATTTAAATCGATAAAGCCTTACAGAAAAACGGTTCAAATTTGGCTTTTAAATTCAAGTTGATTTTATTGTTCTTTTGTACGTAGTTTTGTTCATATTTATCTCCCCTTGCTATTAAAGTTTTACCAAGAAGGTATTTTACCAAGAGATCTTTTACCAAGGAGGTACTTTACCAAGAGATCTTTTACCAAGGATGTATTTTACTAAGGGAGGTAACCGATTCTCCAAACAAGATATTATATTTTGAAAAAAAAAAATCTCAAAATGACTGACAGGAATTTACACGAAAAATCGAGTAAACACAGACCAAAGGCGGGGTTGTAAACTACATTACAGCATAAACACAACATTATTAACCACAGTTTTATGATATATATATATATATATGTTATACCGGATTTTACAAGTACAATTTAAAGCACTCCAGACAATTTATTCAAAGTCGTAAAGGTGTTACTGGGAAAAGTATTTTAAAAGTCCTATGTTTCCGTATTTCACTTCAATCAGTTCATACCATTTAAGGGGCATGCCATTTCATATTAGTCTGCTGTCACAGATCCCAAACTACTCTCCGACATTCGCCATGATTTTTTTTCTTGCCGATGTTACCGTTTATTTAAAGACTATAACTTTACGAGCTGAAGTTTGGAATAAACACACATCCTTCGTGTTGCCATTTGGTTTGGGTTTTGGAAAAAAGTATAAGACCTGTAGTGATTACGATTATCGTCAGGATAAATGTCCGTATAGTTAGCAACGATTCCATAAATCCAATGAATATACTTTGAAATGTTGGTGTAAACACCCGGAACATTTGGTACGGCACAGCCCAGACCCCAAGAGACAATCCCGGTGATGTAATAAATGGTCAGTTCGACAAACAATGGACACATCAGGGCACTACCACTGTCACCCTTTAAATATGAAAAAAAAAAAGGAAAAGACAGATTAAAACATAAAATTTACAAAATATAAACAACAAAAAAACATTTGTATCTATATTTCTGAGATGAGATTTATTATGTACACTATTACATTATTCGGACTATTGTCCTCATCTTTGTCATAAACCATATTTATTACAACGTTTCGAACTTGCCTTTCAGTATCTGTCTATATTTTTGAGATGAGGTATAATGAATATTATTTACATTATTCGGACTATTGTCCTTTATTTGTCGCCATATTTATTACAACGTTTCGGCCCTTTCAGTATCTGTCTATATTTCTGAGATGAGGTATTATGTACACTATTTACATTATTCGGACTATTGTCCTCATCTTTGTCGCCATATTTATTACAACGTTTCAGATTTTTCATTATCTGTCTATATTTCTGAGATGAAATTATTATGTACACTATTTACATTATTCGGACTATTGTCCTCATCTTTGTCGCCATATTTATTACAACGTTTCAGCCCTTCAGTATTATTCTATATTTCTGAGATGAGGTATTAATGCCATAACTATTTACATTATTCGGACTATTGTCCTCATCTTTGTCGCCATATTTATTACAACGTTTCGGCCCTTCAGTATCTGTCTATATTTCTGAGATGAGGTATTATGTACATTATTTACATTATTCGGACTATTGTCCTCATCTTTGTCGCCATATTTATTACAACGTTGCGGAGCCCTTCAGTAATCACAAATGGAAATATTTCTGAGATGAGGTATTATGTAAACTATTTACATTTATTATTGTCCTCATCTTTTCGCCATATTTATTAAAATTCCAAGCCCTTCAGTATCTGTCTATATTTATGAGATGAGGTATTATGTACATTATTTACATTATTCGGACTATTGTCCTCATTATTGTCGCCATATTTATTTCAACGTTTCGGCCTTTCAGTATCTGTCTATATTTTGAGATGAGGTATTATGTACACTATTTACATTATTCGGACTATTGTCCTCATCTTTGTCGCCATATTTATTTCAACGTTTCAGCCCTTCAGTATCTGTCTATATTTCTGAGATGAGGTATTATTACACTATTTACATTATATCTTTTATTGTCCTCATCTTTGTCGCCATATTTATTACAACGTTTCAGCCCTTCAGTATCTGTCTATATTTCTGAGATGAGGTATTATGTAACTATTTATTTTTATTCGGACTATTGTCCTCATATTTTGTCGCCATATTTATTACAACGTTTCAGCCCTTCAGTATCTGTCTATATTTCTGAGATGAGGTATTATGTACACTATTTACATTATTCGGACTATTGTCCTCATATTTGTCGCCATATTTGTACAACGTTTCATTTTTATTTATTGGAAATATTTCTGAGATGAGGTATTTATAACACTATTTACATTATTCGGACTATTGTTCATCATTTGTCGCCATATTTATTTCAACGTTTCGGCTAGATGTATCTGTATATTTTTGAGATGAGGTATTATGTACACTATTTACATTATTCGGACTATTGTCCTCATCTTTGTCGCCATATTTATTACAACGTTTCAGCCCTTAATTTTATCTGTCTTTATTTCTGAGATGAGGTATTATGTACACTATTTACATTATTCGGACTATTGTCCTCATCTTTGTCGCCATATTTATTCCAACGTTTCGGCCTTTCAGCATCTGTCCATATTTCTGAGATGATTTATATTATGGTTACACTATTTACATTATTCGGACTATTGTCCTCATATTTGTATAATATTTATTACAACGTTTCAGCCCTTCAGTATATGTCTATATTTCTGAGATGAGGTATTATGTACACTATTTACATTATTCGAACTATTGCCCTCATATTTGTGGTATATTTATACAACAACGTTTATTTGTTGTTCATTCTTGAATGTAAATGGCTGGAATGTCGAACTGTTTTTAAAATTAAGTTATTTCATAAAAAATAATGGCAGAAGAAATTTGGTTTATTTATTAATACCCAGAAATTCATACACAGATGTCCTCAAGGACAAATGTCACAGTAGATAAAGGCGTTAGTTAGATCCGTTGAGAGGACCCAAAGTGTGTGAATTCAATACCTGTTTAGGGCGATGGGGAACTTTCAGAGGGAAATTAAAAAGAAAATACTTGATTTTTGACATCCATTAGACGAGGAACTAGAACATAATACCACAGCGAGCGAAATAAAGGGTTAAGTTCGACATTTTTCAATGTCACTTGAAGAAGGCCGGGAAAATACAAACGAAACGTTTTGATAAATATGGCAACAAAGATGAGGACAATAATCCGAATAATTTAAAAGTGAACAAAACTCAATGTTTGCACAAAGGTTATATTTGTTTTAGATTTGATGAAACTGGTTCCCAGGTCTTTCATATGAAAGTCTACATCACAAATATATCGGGGCCCCGGAGGCACCTCGACGTGGGGTAATGGTGAGCAAGTTTGTCTCGATAGATCAATTAGGGCTGAGTAGTGAGTTCGATCTTCATTAGGTGTCCCATCCTTACAAAAATTTCTTAAGTTTAGAAAATCACCATACGTGACGACACCTGTTTTCGTACGACCACCTTAAGTTAAGTAACGTCGAGCCTAGCTAGCACCTAGATGGGTGACTGTTCTAAACTTGAATGATGGAAGAAAACTGGAGAGTCAATTTCCAATTCCAGTCGGCTTCGTTATGTTTTTAACGTAGCTACCATTGGCAAAGGTATGAATCTACCACGTCTCCCTCCATGGGTTAAATAGTACGACTTGTATTAGTTAATAATTATTATTTCAAATAAATTCCTAGAATCTAAAAATATTTTCTGGCTTTATATAACCTGGAAAAGGTTGATAAACCGTGAAAAAACAATCAAAACGAAATATAATACGCCGATTGTTCGGATACTGCTGAACTGGATGTTGTAGAACACATTTGTAAATTTTGAAGTTGACTTTTCTGAGTGCATACAGGCAATATTTGGGTCTTACTACCAATGTAGTCAGTCTCACGCTGGTATTTAAATTGATAACGGCTTTGATAGATAGGTAAGCTAACTTTATGAATGGATTTTAACATTGGTCCGAATGAGAAAACCAAACGTGCTCCTCATACACACAGTTTCCCTTTCTCAATGTCCTCTTTCTTCTTTTAAAAATAAATCTGTTTTTATAGCCTTAATAAGGATTATTTCTTTTGAATATGCTTCATCTCAGGCTGCCTAACCCCTTCCTTCTACATATAGGAAGTTTACAAACGACCGGACCGATTTTAAAAATGTAATTTCTTTATGGCGAAATTTAAAAGAACAAAATTTTTCAATCTGTAATTTGTTTCTTCTTCTTCTTCTTCTTCTTCTTGGTCGTCGTCGTCGTCTCTGTGTCGTGTCCTTTCAGGTCGTTGGCGATCATAGCTCTCCATAATTTCCTGTCTTTTGTAGCTTTTAATAAATTTCCTCTTTTTGTTATCTCCCCTAAAACCTGTTCTGCCATCGATAGGTCCCTCGTGCCTTGAATATGTAATAAAATCAAAAACCTAAAAATGACAACAATGAAATACGAATCGAGATCTAAGGTTAAAGGAAAGCGAATATTTTAACCAAAAAATAAAATATTACATATATCGAATTATGTGAACATAGATAGATAGATATGAACAGAGCGAGATAGACAGATAAATATGAACTTAGATAGATAGATAGATAGATAGATAGATAATTAACAGTGAGATAGATAGATAGATAGATAATAGATAGATAGATAATGTGACACTATTTACACCATTTGAAAAAAAGAAAAGCGAAAAAAAAAAAAAGGCGAGAACGAAAAATTTAGAGTGATGAAAGAAGCCATCACGAAAAGGACACTAAGCGATGTTATTTTTTTTTAACAAAGAAAAATGCTAAAGGTTTTATTCTCATTAGCGAGGAAAGTAAGGTCGCGGATGTGTCGGATTTAATTTAATTTATGACGACGCACCGAATAAAAGATATATCCAATCTGCCCATGGCAATAATGAAAAAAATTTCAAGTTGATAAACGAAAAGAATGCAGAGTGCTGGGAGATAAAAATTAATTAGGGGAAAAGCATTGACCGAAACCAAAATGTCCGTTGAACCACCTCCATGTCATTTGGGAAAAACACCTGTTTGTTTTTGTCAGGGCTGGCTATGATAGCAAAATTATTTTATCAGAACGAATAATTGGCACCAAGGTGCGATACGTCCAATTGACCACCCACTTGTTTGGCGAAGGTCCTCGATTGATAAATTCCATATGAAATTCGGTTAAGATAAGAGATTAAGGACCACACTTGTTGTCGGGCAGAAAGAAGGAAAAGAAAGGAAAAAAAAAAAGGAAGATATTTTTTTTCTTTGAGCAAGATTTTTTTTTAAACCGAGGCCAGTCTGGCCACACCACACTGCTGGGCGCCCATTGGCTGAATGCTGGCGTGAGCGGCAGGCGAAGGTAATCATATGAAGAAGAAGGAGGGAGGCCTGTTGACACCCCCTGAGGGGATCGGTATGAGATGCCACTGTGAGAGAGAGGGAAACCTGTTGACACCCTCTGAGGGTATGGTGAGATACCAATATGAGAACAGAAGAAGAAGGTGGGAGGACGAAAGACTTCCAAAAAAATGGAAAATGGAAAATAAATTTTCCTGACCGAAAACAAAGAAAAGTGGATTGTGGATTTAGAATTATCAAAGGAACCTCAAACCCCGACAAGCCCACCCCGGTTTTGGTCGGCGTCCATATAAGCAGAGTCGCAGCGAGTGAAAGGCAGTTCAGTTGAGGGAGTTAAAAGTTTCCAGTTCGCAGCTGAGTTGAATTGAGTTGAGGCCCGCCTCGCAGGAACCTGACTGAAAGATTCCACGCAATTCCGAACTCAACTTCTAACCAAGAACAATTTATTTTTGAAGAACGACTTAGACTCACACCACCAAAACAAGTTTTACGAATATCGCCTGAAGATACACCAAAACCAGTTTCTTAAAGAACAAACAACTTAAGATGTTAAGACTCGCCTAACAAACACAAAGTGTCACGAATCCATATAGCGGGTTGGGAGAAAGACGCAGTCCTGTATTCAGCAACCAGATATAAAATATTGTTATCCTTTTTTTTAACACATTTGAACTTTTCGAGTTATTATTTTATTTTCTTTTACATATACTTGTGCGATATCACCCTTGTTCGGACTCGACTTGCATTACGGCCCGGCGACTGATTGATTTCGTCTACCTAAGATCAAATCACAACGTGGGTAGGTTAGACTAGAAATCAAAACAGTTACTTCGGTAACCAGACGTTGGAGGCGAGCTGGGAACGACAAGGCTGATACCGAATCTAACCAGATTCCCATCCGAATCAGCGAAAGGTTAGAACACCACATTTGGTGCCGCGACCAATACCAAGCCACATTGGTCATCACAGGACAGGATAGGACTAGATAAATAGATATGTACAGAGTGAGATAGATAAATATGAACATATATGGATGGATAGATAGATATTAACAGAGTAAAATAGACAGATACGAACAGTGTGAGATAGATAGATAGATAGATAGATAGATAGATAGATAGATAGATAGATAGATATTACTTACATTACAGCTATCGTGCTGTATAGAGCCACCAGCGCACATCATATTTTCCGTAATCTCACTGATCTTTGGTCTGTCAGCATTGTTAAAAGCGAACTTACGTCTTTCGTGAGACACAATATCCAGATCAACTTGTCGTAATGCCATCTCGTATTCAGGAGCTGAAGATATAAATAAATAAATAGCTTGAGTGAATTGATTACCGGCCACTCGGTTCTGGGGCTGACAGCGATCTAAATAAATCAGGTGACGAAATAGAATTGATAAACACACCTGCAGGGCTAATAATAACGGTAGCCAACAATGAATTTAAAAGTAGACATCAGAAAACGACTAATAATTTAAATAAGATTACGTCAACAATTATTGTAGAAGACCTTGATTCATTAAGTAATTATATTTCAATTAACGTTAGATAAAGTCCTATCAATGAGTTCATTATAAGGATCATCATTATCATCATCATCATGATCATCAGTCACTTGAAGTGCTTCAATTCTCCCCCGGGAACCTAAAGGAGAATGAAACAGAGAAAGCTCCTCCATGATGATTTGTTGGCAATGGCTCTCAGAAGTTCCAGCATTGTTATGTCCATTCACTCTTTGATGCTGTCTCACCAGATCATGTGTTGCCGTCCTAGCTTGTGTTAGCTTTCAACAGTGCTTTGCAGGATGGATTTACAGAGGCTGTTATAAGGTGACCAAACCATGACATCTTCCAACGCTTAAGAATAACAAGGAAAGATTCCTGTCGACCCACAAAAGACTTGATTTTGCTCCGTACATGATCATTGGTTTTGTGCTCCCAGTAGGAGAGATATTGGATACAAGTGATTTGTAGAGCTTGAACTTGGTCTGTAAGCTGATCTTGCTCTTCCATATCCTTTCCAATCTGTTAATCGTTAGTGTAGTTGTGGCAATACGCGTTCGGATCTTCGTGTTGAAGGGACATCTTTTGATAGGGTTGCGCCCAAGTATTTGAAGCTGGACGCCTCATGCAGATATTCGTTCTCCATGGTAACGTTGGCAATGGTGGTACTTCTGCTATTCTCCAGATCCAATTATAAAACAGAATAGATACCGAGCCCCAAATTAATATATTGCAAAGGTGCTGTCACAAAAAATAATGCAGAAGGAGGATCCAAAAATCTCGTCAGTGATATAAATACAGAACTTGTCGAAGATTAATTCTCGCCATTTTAAGCCCTACCAGATGTAGCCCGATCTGCAGGATGTGAACGTGAGATTACCTTCTTGATAAAATTGCCTTTGGTGAGATTCTAGAATGGTCATGTCCATCCATTCTTTGATACTGTCTAACCAGCTCCTGTGTTGTCGTCCTAGTTTGTGTCCGCCTTCAATAGTGCTTTTTGGATGATGCTCTTACAGAGGCTGTTGTCGGGGTGACAAAACCATGACATATTCAACGCTTATCAAGGAGAAAATCCCTATCGACGCACAAGACTTTTTTGATATTGAACATGGTCATTGGAAAATATGCAGGATAGATGTTGAATAAAAATGATTTGTAGAGTTTGAAGTTGGTTTGATCCGTGTGCAGATCTTAGCGTTGTAGGTGTCATCTTTTGACAGGGTTGCTCCCAAGGATTTGAAGCCGGACACTTCCTCCAGGGGTTCACTGTCCATGGGGAAGCTGACATCTATTGTTTGTGTTATCCACCATTACTTTAGATTTCTCTGTGTTGAGTTCCATTCCATAGGCTGCGGCTCTTTCATCGAGTTTGTTGATCAAGATTAGCAGCTGATGAATTGCTTCCCGCCATATTTGTCGTATTAAACCCATTCCATCTAATACTGAAGTCTGGTAGCTGATGCTGAGCCTCCATATCCTTTCTAGTCTATTTATCGCTGCTCTGGCTGTGGCCATCCATGCAAATTTCTGCGTTGCAGGTGTCATCTTTGACAGGGTTGCTCCCAAGTTTTTCAAGCTGGACACATCATGCAGTGGTTCGTCGTCCATGGTGACACTGGCGCTTGGGTCAATTATTGTGCTATTCTTTAATTCTGTTTAACACATAGAATTCACGCAGAAAAAAATGGTCGGTCTCCCAAAAGATCATTTTTCAATCATTTTCAGAAAAATCAGTAGAAATCCAATAGTTTGAGTACTAATATCTAAACCAAGGATTCGTGATAAAATTGAGGGCTCTAGAATGCATATAAGAATGGGTAACCCAGCAAGATTCTATTGTATCGCCGACAATCATTGATGGATCATCATCATCATTATGATCAATTCTTTTACTGCTTTAATCGTCTGGAGGGTGACGTAATGGCAAAAAAACAAACAACCCCCAGGATGATCTGTTGACGGGTGGCCTTCAGGGTCTTCCGTCATTGTCATGTCCGTCAACCCTTTGATGTTGCCTGACCAGTTTTGCGTTGCGGTCCGATCTGCAGAATGTGAACGTGAGATTACCTTCTTGATAAAATTGCCTTTGGTGAGATTTAGAATGGTCATGTCCATCCATTCTTTGATGCTGTCTAACCAGCTCCTGTGTTGTCGTCCCAGTTTGTGTCCGCCTTCAATAGTGCTTTACATGTTGCTCTTGCAGAGGCTGATGTACCGTGTGACATTGCCAAACAAATACTTAAAAGCAGCGATTCTTCATAGTATTCCGTTTCCTGCCTCAACCAGTATAGTCCAAGTCTCACACTCATAACGGAGGGTGGATACAAGCAGTGATTTGTGATGTAGAAGTTCATGTTGCTCTTCCATATTCTTTCCAGTCTGGCCATTGCTGTCTGTCTGTGACGATCCGTGGGCGAACCCAGCGTTATATAATGCCATCTTTTTGACAGAGTCGCTCCCAAGTATTTGAAACTGGACGCTCCATGAAGTGCATGTTGATGCTGACAATAATGTTGCATGTGCCAATCACCATTATTTTAGATTTCTTTGTGTCGCGTTCCATTCCATAGGTTCCGGTTCTTTCAGCAAAAGTTTGTTGGTCAAATCCAGCAGCTCAATGTTACTTTCCCCCTAAGGTCAATACCATCTGTGAAATGAAATGAAGATTGCAGACGGGTCTAGCATCGATAGGGATAGAATGTTGTGGTCATGGAGGGTTTCCTGCTTAATTCTTTGGAGACAACAGGCATCTCTGTCTCATGTCGACAGTCAGAAAGAAATCTCTCATTTGGTTACTCAAGAGAACTGTGTTGGTGGCATGGTGGTCATAGAGAGTCTGGATAACCTGTCTGAGCCTTTCTTCTATATTGACCCTTCCCAGGACATGCCAGAGGCCATTATGCCATACCAGATTAAACGCTTTCTTGAAATCAAAGAAATTATTTACATTATTCGGACTATTGTCTTCATTTTTTTCGCCATATTTATTACAACGTTTCGGTCTTTGTACGCTCCGGACTTCTTCAGGTGATTGGAATGTCGAACTGAACCCTTTATTTCGCTCACTGGGGTAGACTGTTCTAGTTCCACGTGCCATGTTTAATGAATGTCAGTTATCAGTTATCTCCTGTTAATTCTCCTCTCCAAGTTCTCCACTGCCTTAACCGGGTATTGAACTCACACTCTTTGGGCCTTGTCACTGGATCTAACCAACGACTTTATCCACTGTGCCATGCGTCCTTGAGGACACATGGCACATTAGCCGAAACGTTGTAATAAATATGGCGACAAATTACGAGGACAATAGTCCGAATAATGTAAATAGTGTACATAATACCTCATCTCAGAAATATAGACAGATACTGAAGGGCCGAAACGTTGTAATAAATATGGCGACAAAGATGAGGAGAATAGTCCGAATAATGTAAATAGTGTACATAATATCTCATCTCAGAAATATAGACAGATACTGAAGGGCCGAAACGTTGTAATGAATATGGCGAAAAAGATGAGGACAATAGTCCGAATAATGTCAATAGTGTACATATTACCTCATCTCAGAAATATTGACAGATACTGAAAGGCCGAAACGTTGTAATAAATATGGCAACAAAGATGAGGACAATAGTCCAAATAATGTAAATAGGGTACATAATACCTCATCTCAGAAATATAGACAGATACTGAAAGGCCGAAACGTTGTAATAAATATGGCAACAAAGATGAGGACAATAGTCCAAATAATGTAAATAGTGTACATAATACCTCATCTCAGAAATATAGACAGATACTGAAAGGCCGAAACGTTGTAATAAATATGGCGACAAAGATGAGGACAATAGTCCGAATAATGTAAATAGGGTACATAATATCTCATCTCATAAATATAGACAGATACTGAAGGGCCGAAACGTTGTAATGAATATGGCGACAAAGATGAGGACAATAGTCCAAATAATGTAAATAGGGTACATAATAGCTTATCTCAGAAATACAGACAGATCAATGAAATTGTCGAACAGGCCCCTCTAGTTTGTAGATGATTCTCAATGAGGACCCCACAGTTGAAGATTTGTTCCACTGCGCTCCGTCCGCCTGTAAAATCCGCCTCCTCTTCTGATACTAGTTCTTCAGCCTTGGACTTCGAACTGTTGAGGGTTATATGGAGTCTGACCTTGCTGGGTCTGGAGGGTACTTGTCAAAATATTTTGCATCACTAGAGATTGGTCAACACTCGATAATGATAACATCAAATATGAACACGGCCACTGTGTGCTGACCGTGTTTGAGAATAATTCCAGAAACTCTAATAAATAAATTTTTTTTTTTTTTTTAAATCTACACATTTAGCTAAAAATAAAAACGTCCTTGATAATGACTAAAAGAATAGCCGAAAGTGCTCGGTATTACAGAATTTTCAGATAATTTTTACATACTTCTTCTCCAGAAGAAAAAAACAAACTTATACGAACACAAGTAAAATAAATAAAAAGTTTATATATTAGGTGTAATATAGAATTGATCCCCCACTTTATACCCACATCATAATTTCTTATTTGTTTATCAAATTCCGATTGGGTATGAATTCAGCTTTTCTCCCCCAGCAATAGGTTAATTAATAAGACTTGTATCACTAAATCATTATTATCTCAAAAAAGAAAAAAATCTTAAAATCTAAAAATATTTCCTGGCTTTAAATAACCTACAAAGTGTTGATAAGCTGTAAAAAACAAATCAATCAATGAATCAATCAATTCTTAAGTTAAATAGACTTTCTTCAAAAATGCAAATGCAACGTTAATCACTACCTCCTATCTACCTTTTTCTTTTATTGTCTTTTCTCTTTTTTTCATTCTCAGTAACCCCATTGCGTCTTAGTGGTTTTATCGCCTTACGTGGGGTGAAATAATTATAAAAATTAAATTCGTCCGAGTTGAAATTAACTTGAGGCTACAATGCAACAAGTGTTGTTAATCCATTTATCTTTGTTTCTAGAAGTTGCTGTGTTGCCAACCATATAAACATCCCAAAATAAAGAATGAATGTATTGATTTAATAAATAATTTTCTATCGTATCAAGGATTATATACACTATCGAATATTAAATTGGTATCGGGCATTTTAGGACAATCGATAAAAAGATTATATTGAATGTTTCTGTTCAATGAAGATTTCAAATTATTTTAGATACAAACAAACAAAAATATATATATATATATATCAATCCGTGTAAAAGAATGAATTGATACTTTGAGGAAGAGACTCCTGAGATGATGCTTCCGTGATCACTACAATCTTAAATTCCTACATATTCTCATAAACTGACTTTCTTTTCTCCTCCTCAGGATCATATGACCTGATTTAGTATCCCTCTATATTGAGTGGTTCTTTGGCCTTTTATTAGGTGCGTATTAGTAAAAAATTACTATCATCAAATTTTAGAAGTTAAAATACTATAATGAAATGTACAAAACTTTTAATGCATTTTACGGATTACGTGACGAGTGACATTATTAACAATTTAAATTCTTTCATTTTTTTTCATAAGTTAATCGAATGGTTTCAATGGACATTTTTTGAAAATTGTTATAGTGAAAAAAAACCTATCACACCCCGACAGTGATTGGTCAGTCTAAAGAGACGTGAATGAGGAGAAAATAAAAGACGCGACGAAGTATTGTAGTAGCAGTACCACTACGGATCTCCGTAACGTATGTTGCGTTTTCCTTATTATTATTAAGAACTCTTACTCATTGAACTTTCCATACAATAAAACCCATGTTATTTGTTTTTACCTAATTCCTGTGTTTAGCTTAATCTTTCCACTCGGATTTACCTAGTTGCTTATATCGTATTATCCACGATATAACAAAAATCATTTCAACCCCACACCCTTCACCAAGCAAGGCGATAATGCCACTAAGATGCAGCATCGAATACTGACCTCTTTCGGGTGGCAACGTATCTAACAAAAGAACTCATAACTCAAAAAAATAAAACAGCCAAATGAGGGACAGGTTCCGTCAGGTTATCTTGCCCTAGACACTTCAATACTGCTATGGCTGAAGTATGTGGTGTTCTACGATACCATCGGATTACGTGAGGAGTTACATTATTAAAAATTTTAATTCTTTCATTTCGTTTCATAAGCCAATCAAGGGCTTTTAATGGACACCTTTTCAATTAGTATCAAAAATACTTGGTAAATTTTAATTACTACTTATGTAACATAAACATAACATAGAAATAAAAATATTTTTTAAATCTGTTACAAAAATCATTGTTTGATAAGTCTTAATCTTTATAAGTCTACCATTTGTCCATAGTTCGAATACGGTCCGGTGACCTAGGGATCTATCGAGATCTCCTTGATAAAATCTAAAGAATCAGCAATATTATTGGCCAGGATCTGGCATCTTGTTTTTAGTGACGTTCCCCCAGCCGTAAGATTGCTTCCCTTTTTCTATAAATACTTTCATGGTAATTGTTCTGATGACCTCTTCGCTATGTTGCCTAGACTCTTCGAATTTAAGTCCACTACTACATTAGTGGGAAGGTCACATCAATTTACAGTTGACTTGGCTAGATGTAGTCGTAAATTCAGTGCTATCAGTTTCTTTCTCGCTTGTGGAAATATTTTCTGGTTCCATGCTTTCCAACCAACTTTAATCTGCAGAAATTTAAATGCAATGTCAATCGCTATCTACTGTCCTCCTGATTACTCTTTTCTCTTCCCGCTCATTATTAATGTTTCTGTTCCTAATTCTTCCATACCCAGTAACCCCTTGTGTCTTAGTGGCTTTACAGCCTTACTTATGGAACTCCCTTCCAGCTGCATGCTTTCCAGCCAATTTTAATCTGCAGAAATTTAAATGCAATGTCAATCACTATCTACTGTCTTCTTGATTACTCTTTTCTATTTCTGCTCATTATTAATGTTTCTGTTTCTAATTCTTCCACATCCAATAACCCCCCTTGCGTCTTAGAGGCTTTACTGCCTTGCTTGGGGTTAACTTTTTGTGAACTTGGTGTACAGTTTGTAAATAAAATAAAATAAAGGCATGAAATCTTTTATTGGCTTAAAAGATAATGTGCGGTGGAAAGAGAAAGGTTCTTACCTTCGTTTTTGATCATGCCCCACCCGGCAGCCATGCACCTTGTACCCACTGGGGGAATCTGTCCTTGAGCTGGGAGACAAATCGGGCGTACATAATCGTTAAATTCCAATGGAGAGACAAGATGTAAAAGGGCGATGTCATGATTAATGGTTTGTGAATCATAATCAGGGTAGATATGGATTTCCTTGATACCCCGGGTCTGACGGTAACGCCAATGGCTTTGGCGTCTTGTGTTTGCAGCACGAACAATAATTCCATCCGGCGATGCCCTGAAAACAATGGATTAAGATTTTTATATAGTTATCTAAAATGTTTACAATGACATTACCCCTGTAAAAAGGCACAAGAGCGACTAGAGGTAAAGGGTTATAGAATAAGAAGCACAGTTGTGCATATATGTGGGTAAGATAATAGTAGACCCTAGAGTTAAACAGGTTAAGATTGTACTGATCAGGGAAGCACCCTCTTGGGAGTCGCTTCCACAAAGCAGCGGTTCGTGGGAAGAATCTGCTTAAGTGGAACTTACACATCGCTGGTGGAACTATGGAATATAGTTCGTCTGAGCACTTTCCACGGAAATAGCGTTAGAATTGCAAGAGGCTTGCAAAGTTTCGTCTATGAAAAAAGGGGTTTTAGAGTAGAAAATAATTCATCACCCACAGGGACGTGGATATGCTTTTGAACTCTATCAAGACTGGAAAATGAAGACTGTGGAGCTCCTGTCTATATACAACCCTACTCCAAATCTGTCTTGATCTGGTTCTTGTAAAGGTAGAGGATACCGAAGGTAGTCAGGTATTTACTGGATCTGTACAGGGGACCGGTCATTTTTCCAGCATCTTGAGGGCTGGGTTGAGTTTAAGTCCCGCTAGGAGCTCAGGAGACGGCACCTTCCGTCACTCGCTTGGCTTTCGAAGCCAGTTTTTCATCTACTAAGCTGTTAGAGCTAAGTCAGAGGAAAGATGTGTTGCCAGGCACTGGTCAACACATCATGTAAAATAGAAAGAGTATTGGAGCGAGAAACAAAACACGAGAGACGTCTATGACTCGGGGGCACTTGCTTTACCCAATTACATTCTGGAATCTACCTGCCTTGCTTAAATAACAATCTTAGTGAACACATTTCTATAGTCGATTCGATCTGGTTATTACAAAAAAAAAATTAAATGTATTTTTATTGCTAGATTGTAGATATTGTGAATGCACAGTCACGAAGTTATATTTTGCAACAAAAAATTGCATTAATCAACAAACAATAACCGTTAGATAAGAATATAAAATGAAAAACATGTTTGAGTACTACGAGGAAGGTCTGACCTCGAAACTATTCAAAACAGAAATTTCTCCACACTGCTACCAATATCCGCCTTAGAAATGAAAATTTCCATACATCGAATATCAAAAGCCTGAATCTAAAGCTATTAAATAAAAATATAAGTTATACCCTTCAGATATAGGCTTATTATTTTCGATGTTCCTATAAAATGAATACCAAGAACAATCACAGCGAATCTAACCACACAATTGCAACACTAAAAACCATAAATGCTTTATTTTATACAGTTTATCGTCACATTGGCCATTTATGTGTTTGCGGTTTTCGATTTAAATTTAGGGATCTACATGATTTGCTTCTTCTTTGCAAAATAAGGGATTTATCCGATTTAAGACACATACCCTCCTTCCAATTAGCTCTTTAAATCGAGGTTCCACTGTGTTATATCAGCGTCATCTCTCTCTCTCTATATATATATAATAATTTAACCCAAATAAATAAATAAACCAATAAACGACTTCCGGTAAAATAACCGTCAAAATAGACTACCCACAATGCATCACTGACCCGTATATGAATAAATAGCCGAGAAAAATACCAGCACTCGTGGCCTGACGATTACTTCTAGCATGAAACAGACTGTCGCCTCTAAGTGTTGACTTCTATGTTCACTTTTATATTTACACACGCTCTATCACGGATATTGAGCCCTTTATCCCATAAATATAGCACATCTTAAGACTGTATTTCTTCATATATATATATATATATATATATATATATATATATATATATAATGAATAAAAACAGACCAATTTAAGGTTCCATGTAATAAGATACAGGCTACAATTATTGCCAATACATCTGCAAGGTTTAACCCTTCTTAGTATCCTCCACTTTATACTGGGTCTTTTACCAAGTTTCTTTTTTAACTCCCACACATGGTTTGCCAGTTTTGCATAATGGCTATGGCTCTCCAGTTTAAAGGAGGACCAATGGTTGTACCACTTTTTTTAAAATGTCTTCTGTACATCACACATAGACTTTGATATGCCCAGCGGATTCCTCGACCTCTGCTTTATATACAACACTCGCGGCAATAAAGCTACCTTCCAATGGGCACTTGTTTTTATCACTACACTTGCAGGGGGTGGTATCGGTGCAGAGATTTATATATAACCAATGAATTGATAGTAAATAAGTTTGCCTATGGTCAGCATTAGTGGCATTATTGTCTTGCTTGGGGTGAATTGATTAAAATTACACACACACACACACACACACACATATATATATACCGTCATCCACAGACAGACTGTTTCGCTGTTTCACAGCTCATCAGTGTGACTAGACATCCGGTTGCCTCCAGCTAGGGTTAGATTCTAACCATTAAGCAATCGGCGCACGGTAGGGAGGAAAGTGGATTTTTAGCGTGTTTATCTTTATAAACACGCCCAGTGATTAAGGAGTGACTCAAAAAATATATATATGTGTGTGTGTGTGTGTGTTCCCAAAAGAAGTTTTGGGCTTTGTTCTGATCAGTCTTTTACAATAGAGACGGTTTCAGCTGAGTTTAATTCCTAGTTTTCCTTCTCTTAGATACTAATATATGTTAAAGACTTAGTCTAGTTTCATTCCTGGGTATGACGATCTTTTACAAAATTTATTGAAAGGCCTCTGATCGGGAGCTTTTGACGAACTTGGAACCATCTGTTAATTGTTGCTATTCCCAGATCCACTCTGGGCCGGGGTTATGTTAGAGTTCCAGCTAGTTGCAGTTAGTTAACGCCCAAACTCGGGTTAAAACATTTTAAATGTATATAAAAACATATATAAATAAAATTAAATGTCACCATTAAATGTCACATCATGGTTTGATATTCTGCTAAATCAACAATCTAGCTACATTCACCATCTCCGGTCGTTCACGATGAACAGGTGCCCCGTCGGCGAAGTTTCATGACTTCAGAGAATATTGAGCATTAAACTCACGCGTGGCCTAAAGTGAAATTTGTACATTTGATCCATCGCTAAGTATACAGGAAAAAAATGTTCTGTGCCCTGTACCGCTCCAGTAAGTATCCGACTTCTCATGTCATCCTCTACCTTAATAAAAGCCAGATCAGAACCCCATACTGTTGTCATATTTAGGTGAGAGCTGTCCAGCCCTCACTTTCCAGTTTCTATAGAGTTCCAAATCGTCTCTGAATCCTCATGGGTGACAAATAACCCTCCAACCTCTAGCCTCTCTTTCACAGGCGGGGATGTGGCAAGGCCGTTACTGCTCTATAGCTACTTCCCTGTAAAGTGCTTGGACGAACCACATCCATGGCTTCTCGCACGCCTAACCTTCACGGCTAGGCCCCGCCATGACACTTACATTGTGGCAAACCACACACATTCCCTCCGTATTCCATCGGCGTGAAGTAAGTTCTACTCGAACAGCTTCTTCCTGCGAACCACCGCTCTGTGGAACCGACGCCCAAGAGGATACACATACAATCATTACAATCTTAGCATATATATATATATATATATATATATATATATATATATATATTGATAATATTAGTGGAAATTACACATACATATGCAAAATATATATAAAAAAATACCCATACATGTTTATTTTAAAAAAGAAAAAATTTTCCAAGAAGGAAGAATCCAGGTAGAACTCAATGTCTAGGACAGAGTAAGGATATAATAAAAAGGCTTCAACACTAATATTCCATGGTCATAATTTATTCCATTGGAATCGTAAATACGATCGAAATCATCAGACCTACAAATTCAAAATGAAAACAGAAAAAACAACTCCGGAAATCAAAATAGAATTTAGAGAAAGTGTGTGTGTATATATATATATATATATATATATATATATATATATATATATAAAAAAGGCTTAAACACGAATATCCCATGGTCATAATTTATTCCATTGCAATCGTAAATACGATCCAATTTATCAGACCTACAAATTCAAAAAGAAAACAGAAAAAAAAACAACTCCGGGAATAAAAAATAAAATTTAGTGAGAGTGTATGTATGAGAGTGTGGGACGCATGTTAGAGTAAATGAAAGCTATAGAGAGGAGTAACAAACGTGAGAAGAACAGGAAGGTCTAAAGATGAAAGGGGGTGGTTAAAATTTAACAGAAAGAAGTTTTAAAGAGGGGAGTCAAAGACGGTTTAAGTGAGAGAAATATGAATATACTCAGATGTCTAATACATTAAAGATACACCGGCAAAGAGTATACATTTTGTGGTGACATACACACAAAATAGACGCTATAATCCTAAAGATCAGAAGATGAGAGAGGGGAGAGAAAAAGAAAAAAAAAAAAGTGGGGAGAGAGAGATTGGGCGGGGGGAACTAAAATGAAGGGCATTTATAAAAAAAATGCTATGTAATCAAGAAAATTTGACGAAAAGTAATATCGACTACAGGTTACAAATCTAATATAAACATAAAAAAAATAAAAAAAGTGTATGTGTGTATAAAAATGTGACAAAAAAACATAGAAATATATGTCCTTGCTAGGTTAGATAATCGTTAGATTATTATATGTCCATATAACGATTGATGATGGCTCATGTGTATAATAAAGAAATATCCAAATGTTGGGCAGTGTGTGCCTTTATTTCCTCTTGAAACAAAAGCCATTATACGACAAATTGCAAAAAGGCTGATGACAAACAAAAAGACATTCGTCGGCTGTTATATTTAACAATGCAATGTTTGAATAACCATATCTAAAATACACTCCATATATATATATATATATATATATATATATATATATATATATATATATATATATATATATATATGGAGTGTATAGAAATTATATGGTTATTCAAATATATCATATGTGTGTGTGTGTGTGTGTGATATGAAAAAATGATTTAAATTTTAAATATAAATTTTATCCCGACTTCGAATAACCGTTTAAATCCACAACCTCTGAAGAATGGACATTTTCCAATTTTGGTGAAGTCAGGATAAAATTGATATTTAAAAATTTAAGTAATCTTTTCATATAATAAAAAAAGCTATATTTTTATTATTATTTTCATTTTTTAATATCGAGCACTAAATAAAATATCTGCTTTTTTTTTTTCTTAAATTTTAAATCATATATATATATATATATATATATATATAAAATAAAAACTTGAAACACTAATATTCCATGGTCATAATTAAATTCCATTGGAATCGCAAATACGATCCAATTCATCAGACCTACAATGAATATATATATATATTTATATATTTTAGATATATGATATATGATTGCATATGTATGTGTATATTTACCACTAATATTATCTATCTATCTATCTATCTATCTATCTATCTATCTATCTATATATATATATATAAATATATATATATATATAGTGTTAGTTTTTACTTACTTTCCCAGACAGTGCGCCGCTGTGATGACCCATTCTTCGTTCAGGATAATATTTGAGCAGAAATAGGGACAAAAAGCAGATTAACCCAGAAGAGAAACTACCCATGGCCATGTACCCGGTTTCACCTCCAGTCCACCAACAATGCGAAGCGGTGACCGATAGAAGGCTGGACGGTTGCCACATACTTGTCAAAGAGAAAAATGGTAGTAAATTAAAGATAAGCCATTTTAAAATAACAACGATGACAAATTCAATTATTTTTAATGCAACGGTCAATAATGACACCAAAGCAATTGATAAAATTGAAATTTCCAAACACTTCATCAATTGCACTTTCATGTCGAATAGAATTTCTCAAAAACATATATGAATAGTCAGAATAAGATTTATGATGGAACACCAAAAATATTTCGTGTAACGACAAATATTTTATTAATATTGAGTCCACTAAGAGAATTTGAATAGCAGATTTTACTTTAAAAATGAATGGAAAAACGAAATATTTTACGGTAAAAACATAGGTAAATATTGTAAGTGCAATAAAGAAAGAACTTGTTATAATAAACGATGTCGTGCTGCTATAAAAGGATTACATTTCTAAAAACAAACATTAATATGGAGTCATGATGAAAAACCAATTGACAAGATTATTAAAAAGTAACAATGGCATTTATGAAAATAACAATAAAAATTATAAAAGATTTTTAAAGCAAAAAAAACCATAAAATAGTAATAAAATGAATAATAATAAAGTGTGACACAGTTTTGATTAAAATCATTTTTTTTAGTTTTATAAGTTTAGTAATAAATGATAAAAAATGATAACATGAGATTAAAACAACAATTTCTGGAATAAAATAATAAAAAATAGTAATAATGAAAGTGTATAGAGCCAAAGTGTTGGGATTAAAAGCAACAATAATAAGATGGAATAAAACTAGTAATAAAATAATAGTAATAATGAAGAGTGTATAGAGCCAGAGTGTTGGGATAAAAAAAACAATAATAAGATGGAATAAAAGTTAGTAATAAAAATAATAGTAATAATGAAGAGTGTATAGAGCCAGAGTGTTGGGATTAAAAGAAACAATAATAAGAAAATGGAATAAAACTGTAATAAAATAATAGTAATAATGAAAAGTGTATAGAGCCAGAGTGTTGGGATAAAAAGCAACAATAATAAGATGGAATAAAACTAGTAATAAAATAATAGTAATAATGAAGTTATATAGAGCCAGAGTGTTGGGATTAAAAGCAACAATAATAAGATGGAATAAAACTAGTAATAAAATAATAGTAATAATGAAAGAGTGTATAGAGCCAGAGTGTTGGGATTAAAAGCAACAATAATAAGATGGAATAAAAACTAGTAATAAAATAATAGTAATAAGATGGAATTTTTTTAGTGTATAGAGTATAATGAACTTTTTTGTTGGGATAAAAAGCAAACAATAATAAGATGGAATAAAAGTAGTAATAAAATAATAAGTAATAATTTTTGTTTTGTATAGAGCCAGAGTGTTGGGATTAAAAAGCAACAATAATAAGATGGAATAAAAGTTAGTAATAAAATAATAGTAATAATGAAGAGTATATATGTGTGAGCCAGAGTGTTGGGATAAAAAGCAACAATAATAAGATGGAATAAAAGTAGTAATAAAATAATAGTAATAATGAAGAGTGTATAGAGCCAGAGTGTTGGGATTAAAAGCAACAATAATAAGATGGAATAAAAGTAGTAATAAAATAATAGTAATAATGAAGAGTGTATAGAGCCAGAGTGTTGGGATAAAAGCAACAATAATAAGATGGAATAAAACTAGTAATAAAATAATAGTAATAATGAAAGTGTGTATAGAGCCAGAGTGTTGGGATTAAAAGCAACAATAATAAGATGGAATAAAACTAGTAATAAAATAATAGTAATAATAATGAAGAGTGTATAGAGCCAGAGTGTTGGGATTAAAAAGCAACAATAATAAGATGGAATAAAACTAGTAATAAAATAATAGTAATAATGAAGAGTGTATAGAGCCAGAGTGTTGGGATAAAAAGCAACAATAATAAGATGGAATAAAACTAGTAATAAAATAATAGTAATAATGAAAGAGTGTATAGAGCCAGAGTGTTGGGATAAAAAAGCAACAATAATAAGATGGAATAAAACTAGTAATAAAATAATAGTAATAATGAAGAGTGTATAGAGCCAGAGTGTTGGGATAAAAAGCATCAATAATAAGATGGAATAAAACTAGTAATAAAATAATAGTAATAATTTTGTTGTGTATAGCGCCAGAGGGTTAGGATTAAAAGCAACAATAATAAGATGGAATAAAACTAGTAATAAAATAATAGTAATAATGAATGAGTATATAGAGCCAAAGTGTTGGGATAAAAAAGCAACAATAATAAGATGGAATAAAACTAGTAATAAAATAATAGTAATAATGAAAGTGTATAGAGCCAGAGTGTTGGGATTAAAAGCAACAATAATAAGATGGAATAAAACTAGTAATAAAATAATAGTAATAATGAAGAGTGTATAGAGCCAGAGTGTTGGGATAAAAAGCAACAATAATAAGATGGAATAAAACTAGTAATAAAATAATAGTAATAATGAAGACTGTATAGCGCCAGAGGGTTAGGATTAAAAGCAACAATAATAAGATGGAATAAAACTAGTAATAAAATAATAGTAATAATGAAGAGTGTATAGAGCCAGAGTGTTGGGATTAAAAGCAACAATAATAAGATGGAATAAAACTAGTAATAAAATAATAGTAATAATGAAGAGTGTATAGAGCCAGAGTGTTGGGATTAAAAGCAACAATAATAAGATGGAATAAAACTAGTAATAAAATAAAAAAATAATAATAATAAAAAGTGTATAGAGCCAGAGTGTTGGGATAAAAGCAACAATAATAAGATGGAATAAAACTAGTAATAAAATAATAGTAATAATGAAGAGTGTATAGAGCCAGAGTGTTGGGATAAAAAGCAACAATAATAAGATGAAATAAAACTAGTAATAAAATAATAGTAATAATAACAACATGTTGGGATAAAAAGCAACAATAATAAAATGGAATAAACCGATAATAATAATAATAATAATAAGAAGTAAGAAGAATTTTTTGCTAAAAGAATCAAATGGAATGAATGAATGAATGAATCTATATCTAATAAATAATAGGAAAAATGAATGTGTGTGTGTGTAAATGTGTGTGTGTGTGTGTGTGTGTGTGTGTGTGTGTGTGTGTGTGTGTAACGAATGCACGGCCGCAATTTTCGACGGATTTGCACCAAGATTTACATGCACATGCTTCAAGTTAGCGAGAAGGCCAAGACCGACTTTGCTTTCCCAACTTCCATCGATAGTGGAAATAATCGATTTTTTCATACTTCTACGGCAGTTTTCATGCTGTTTGCGGCCATTTTGTACTGGCCAGAGTGAGAGCCAATAGCTGGTTGCCACGAATAGGCAGGAAGATTCTATTGGCCAGCGTGAGAGCCAACAGCTGACTGACACGAATGTTAACTAGCATGTTAGCATGCAAAAAAAATCGATAGCTGCATTCGTGACAAGTGGGTAAAATTTAAATCTGCATGGCACTTTACGCCAATTGGCTCATTCGCTTGCTTAAACTCAACGTTGATTCTGATTCCGCAGAACTGGGTTGGGTGTGAAAAAATATTTGTTGTTAACATTCTTTTTTCATTCGGTTTTTCCAGTTACGAGTTGTTTTTTTTTTTAAGGTGATCGTTTTGTGTTCATTTTGTTTAGTTCTTTTTTTCGTAACAGATTTAATGTTTAGTATAGAGCTTAGAAAAAATTCGCAGTGTGAGATAGGCAAGAAATAAGGCATGTAGCAACATCAGCACAGCAAATGGCACTCCTTTAAATGCAAAGAAGGGCAAACATATTCTAAGTCAAGTGAGAGCGATTACTGTATGTCGTACGATTTTTGAATCATGCACGGGCCATGCTGCTAGTTTATAAATATTGTATTGAAACAGAATTTGGCTATAAATACAAATGATGAAGTAAAACTAATAATGAAGTTCAATATTAATATTGATGGTGATTATAATGATGATGATGGGAGGAAAAGTAACAATAATAAGTTACTCTGGTAATGTAATAATTATAATAATAATAATAATATGAAGAGTGTATTGCTCCAGAATGTTGAAAAAAATACTAATATTGAGATAGAATAAAAGTATTAATACAGAAAATAAAAACTGTTAAACAAAAAAAAAAATGCTAAATCGGAGGTCTTATTTTGCAATAACGAAATCTTAAATAAACTCTCCTTACCTGCTGTTCCACACGTCAATTTGACGATTTCATTGTTTGGACAAGTTGTGCTGCACGTATAAAAGATTGAAACGAAATGTTAGAATAGTCAATAATAAATAATAAAACAATGGGAAAATAAAATGCCTTATTAGGAATTTAAAAAAATAAAAAAACAAACAAACATGTACATGTGATCAACATTAAACAGACATGAAGTCTATTATATAAATGTTAGGAAAGTATCTATAAAACTTGGAATGGGATAGATCAGCCTCTATTGTGCTAGACACACACACAATGGCTATGGCTACAGGACATATTCTGCCATTCGAACTTCATAGCTGACAAGACTCTTCAATAAATAAGGTGAATTTTTTCGGTATAAGGACTTTTAATACAGATAGAAGCTTACTTTTTTTTTTTTTTTCAACGTAGTCTCCCAGCACTGTCACACACTTTTCCCATCTGTGTACAAGCTTCCGTATTCCCTCAGCGTAAAAATCTTTGGACTGATGTCTCAGCCAGTCGCTCACAACACTTTTGACTTCATCGTCACTTTTAAACTTTGTGCCTCTCGTGAACGCTTTCAAGGGACCAAACAGGTGAAAGTCTGAAGGGGCAAGGTCTGGGCTGTAAGGGGGGATGAGGGAGCAGTTCCCAGCCCAGCTCGTTGATGGTCTGCACCGTTTGGGCTGCTGTGTGAGGCCTTGCGTTGTCATGATGCAAGATGACTCCTTCTGACTGATGACCCCTGCGTTTGTTCTTTATGTCTTTCTTGACCTGCCTCAGCAGTTCACAGTAGTTCTTCTGTCAGACTGAATGAGGTCATTGACTGATTCGATCACCTCAGGAGACCTCACTTCTGTAGGCCTCCCAGGCCTGTCTTCATCCTCAACACTGCTCCGTCCTTCTTTAAACAATTTAGCCCACTTGTAGACATTTTTTGGCTGAAACATGTGGCACCATACACAGTTGACATTCTCCTATGAATTTCAACTGGTTTGCACCCTTCAGCAACCAAAAACTTGATAACTGACCGCTGTTCAATCCTGGAGCATGCTTCTTGGTCGGCCATCTTTGTTAATCGCCAAAACTCTCAAGTTTTTTTTAATCTGCAAAAGAAATTAAATCCATGTGAAAAAGAAGTAAAACAAAAAAAGTAAGCTTCTCTCTGTATTAGAAGTCCTTATACCGAAAAATTAACCTTATTTATTGAATGACCCTCGTAATTTAGCAGAAATGCCAAAAAAAGATGTTTTCTCTTGTAAAACACAAAAGAACTTCTTCATTCATTTGTTCAGTTTATTTTTTTCGATGAATTTCAAAGTCGTTTGTTGTTAACCAAAACTGGATAATTCCGCTGTTGAATTACCATGGTTTAAATCTTTGTTAATCGAAAATTTAAGTTTTTTTGTTTCTTTCTACGAAAGGGTAACATAGAATTTCAAGGAAATGTTTAAATGACGTTCACCATTCAAAAAAAAATAACTTATTTATTTTTTTTCATAGGAACAACAGTGGACTAAAGAGTCGTTAGGCTGATTAATGTTAGAGCTGTGAAATTCTGCATGCATTCATTTCAAACCGTCTTCTTTATAGCTGCATTGTTTCTTTCCAGGAAAACTGTCATCTGACTGTTCAAACAAGACTCTTCCTCCTGTTGGTCAAAAAAAGTTATCAACAGCAGCAGTACGGGACAGAAAGTGAGCGTCGAACTTTATTCAAAGAGAGAAATTGAAATTGAATATGAGACTAAGCTTGTTAGCCATTACACCATGTTAATATTCAGAATTTTTTGCTTGATATCATCCGTTTTAAAATATGAATAGATAAAACTAGCCGAAAGCACTTCGCTGACGATGATGTTTAAATGCCCCCCGCTGTTTAAGTATTTTAAAGTTTGATGGGAAATTAAAATTATGAAAAGGCCTTTAAAAAACGAAAAGAAACAATTGCTGATCAGTTACCCCGCTGAACGAACAAATCGATACAGCGTTTGCCTTTAGCAAGTCGTTTCGCAAATTGAACGGAAATGAAAAATTGTTGCTTTGAAGAATAGATATTTCCGAAAAAAAACATTCAATAATTAAAAGATTTTTTTTTCCTATTCAGTAGTTGCATATTAATAATCGAAGAGAAGTTTTGAAATATACATACTTGATCGATATTATCTCTTGTAAATTACTGATGCTGTTCTGGGCTGATCCCCTGATGACAAAATACCTTAAATAAGGTTTGACTTGTTGGAACACTGTGTTTAGTACAGTTCTGGAATAAAACAAAGATATATAATTAATAGATTTTCTATGTATTTAGAGATTATTAAAAAAAAAAAATCCTAAGAAGAATCTGCAATTTTATTGGTCCTGACCTGACATCCACGCTTTAGTCACTTGCCCACCGCCGTAATATAGCTTTTTTGTGCCTTTTCTATAAATATTTTCAAGGTAATTATTCTGATGTTTCCCTCTTTGATGCCTCTTAACTTAAAAACAAAGGAGAACACAGGAACATATAGATTTGATATAGACTTTACGAATGTAAGCGCAGTACTAGAGTGGCAGCTAGGTCTTATTTTACTGTAGGCTAGATGTAACCGTAAGTTCTATGCTAACAGTTTCTTTTCTCGCTTATGTAAATCTCTTCCGCCATCTTGCTTCTCAGTCAACTTTGATCTACAAAACTTTAAATACAAGGTCATAAGTCATCTTTTTGTGTTCTTAATTCTTGTTCATTTATTGTTCTCTCTGTTTAATGATGTTTTCTTTTTTCTCATATTCTTTCACAATCGGTAACCACTTGCATCTTAAGCAACATCACCATTCCATTTTACATGTTTAATTTCCCACCAATTCTCTTTACGAGGGAACCTGAATGCGCGACATATTGATAAATGTATGTACTGAACAACTCTTTTAAAATATTCATATTATTATTATTATTATTATTATTATTATTCAAATTATTATTTTCTTTCCGACAAGGTATTTTGAGTATTTGAAGTGGGGTATTCTATTAGGGACGTAAGTTTGGAAATGGTATCATGACACTTTCCACTGTCAAAAAAAAAAAAACTTAGATAAAGGCCTTCGAGAAAGGTGTGGGCTGTACTTACCAGAACAATTTTTGTATCTCTTTGAGGCATGGATTCCAGGAATCTCTTCAATTAGTCTACTGTAATCTTTTTCCAAGTCCTAGGGCTCCAACTACAACAGGGATTGTTGATGTTCCCCATGTGCCACATTTTTTGAGATTTCTATTTCCAAGGTCCTTGTATTTTGACAGCTTTTTGAATATCTTCAAAGATACATTGCAGTCATGCAAGGACTTATATATCAATAAGGAGGCATTTTTTTTTTTTATATATTTAATATATATTATTATTATTATTATTATTATTATTATTAACACTTAGAGAAGTGCGCGATTTAAGAAAATAAAAAGAAAAGAAAAGACAGAGTTTAATAATATTCAATAGGGTGTTTTGTCTTTTCCATGTTTAAGAACATTTATAAAAAATATAAATTTTTAAAAAAATCTTTAAAAAATTAAAAGTCTTTAAACAAACGTCTCTTTTCTAAGATTTATTACTGATACAGCAATTGTGGCACAAGGCCAAAATTAGGGGGAGACTGTTCAAGTTTGGTCATCACTAGCTATCTTATACCTAACTAATCGGATTTACGACCCATTCGTTCTACCCATTCACCATAAGAATTTATCCGTCACCATTCGCTCCTTCATACATCAAAATACCTCACACGCACTTGGCAACTACTATTATTGCTATTATTATTATTGTAAGAAACTACCGACCTTTCTACCATTAGAGGATAGTTACGTATGCAAATTACTAACTTCCCGGCCCGGGGGAAATGAACAAAATAAAAGGAGAGTCCCATATGATTTATACTAAATTGTTTTATTAATTCCTTTTAGTAACTAATCAAGTAATGGATACTTTCAAGATGAACAAGAACACCATCATATTAAATACCTTTCAGTTTCATGCCTTCAGGCTGTCGGCGGTTCATTAATAGGACAGCCGTTTTTTTTTGTTTTGTTTTATTTGTTTGTTTTTTTCATTACAATACAAGCAACGTTTATAGATTTTTCAGTATCTGTCTATATTTCTGAAATGATTTTATTATGTGAACTATTTACATTATTCGGGCCATTGTCCTCAACTTTGTTGCCATATTTATCACAACGTTTCGGCCGTTGTACGCTCCAGCTTTCTTCAGTTGATTGGAACGTCGAACTGAACACTTTATTTCGCTCACTGGGGTAGACAAGCATAGAAATCAATACAATATGGGAACCAGTTATAAGTAGTGCCAGGAAAAAGCGATAACAACAAAAATTGCAATATGAGCTCTGGTAAAAAAAAACATGCAATGATAACAGCAAAAATTGCAATATGAGCACTGGTAAAAACGGTTGCTAAAGATATTAGGTTTATAATACCCAGAAATTCATACACAGATGTCCTCAAGGACACATAGCACAGTGGATAAGGGCGTTAGTTAGATCCAGTGACAGGATCCAAAGAGTGTGACTTCAATACCCGGTTAAGGCAGTGGAGTACTTTCAGATAAATGATAACTGACATCCATTAAAACATGCCACAGTCTACCCCAGTGAGCGAAATAAAGGGTTAAGTTCGATATTCCAACCACCTGAAGAAGGCCGGAGCGAAGAACGGCCGAAACGTTGTAATAGATATGGCGACAAAGATGAGGGCAATAGTTCGAATAAAGTAAATAATGTAAATATATATATATATCCTAGAAACTATATTTATGCCAAATTAACATCCCAGATTAAATAAAATATATTCTATATACATATATATTATATATACCAATTTGGTCAATATATATATATATATATATATATATATATATATATATATATATATATCTCAAATAACAACAAAAAGTTGCAATATGAGCTCTGGCAAAAACATGAAATGATAACAGCAAAAATTGCAATATCAGCACTGTTAAAAACGGTTGCTAAAGATATTAGATTTATAATACCCAGAAATTTATACACAGATGCCCTCAAGGACACATAGCACAGGGGATAATGGCATTAGTTAGATCCAGTGACAGGATCCAAAGAGTGTGTCTTCAAAATCTGACCAAGAGGGAATTAACAGGAGATAACTGATAACTGACATCCGTTAGGCATTGCACGTAGGTCTAGAACAGTCTACTCCAGGGAGTGAAAATAAAGGGTTCAGTTCGACATTCCAACCACCTGAAGAAGGCCGGAGCGTACAACGGCTGAAACGTTAATATAGGCCGGAATATATTTTATACTTTTTTTAGTTTTTTTTATAAAATATACTGGTTTAAACCACGTTTAGAGATTCCAGCCTATGAGATATTTTTAACATAATAAGAGGGTGAAGAGGAAATGGCTTCTTACATTTCCCAAGAGGATTTGTCCGAAAATATAACGATCCCGTCTGGCTTGTCCTCGATCTGACGATAAACTACACTTGGCAGCAAGGCCTCTGATCGGAAGATTGAAGGTTTCGAGGAACGTGGCACCAGGATTTAATTACCTCTTGTTCCCAGGTCTACTAAACCCAAAACCTAAAACCTATTAGGAATTCCAGCTATGGGCAATTAGTGAACCTTCAAACAAAAACAAAACACTATGAATGTATAAAAATATATTTTTATACTAAAATAACCCACAATACATTTTTATAGTAAAATTATCAACAATACATTTTATGTCAAAATGACCAACATTACCTATTACCTGTAGCTGAATTCGTAAAATTCTGTTTAAAATATTTAGATTTTGGCATTAAATAACCCACAGACGTTGATATGTATGGATGTTATGGCTATTAGTGCTGGGTTGATTCTTTCACCTAAGCATCCAAGACTTGTTGAATTGTCTTCGTCGCTGAAATAAATTGACAAAGAAAAGACGGAAGGATACGGAGACACTAGAGGGACAGTTTAGGACACTGATTTTATTTCCATCTTTTGGATTCCAACGACCTCTTGTTGGGGAATTTCCTTCCCGAACAGTTGGCACGTGTTCACCAGTCAAAGGTCCAACAGAGAAAGAGGCAGATTCTTCTAGTTTATTTTTGGCGCCAGGAAATCTCCCTTTTTTTTTGCACATGCGTAAATTGTCTTTCCTGTCAGAGGACTCCTGGGAGATTTTAATGTCTATTTTATTTTGTACTTTTATTTAATTTTGTATTTTTATTTCATTTTGTATTTTTATTTTATCCCCACATATGCCCCTAAACAAAATCAACCAACCAAAATTGAAGGCATACAATTGCGTTTTAAAATATATTTAATTAAAGCCATAAAATAGTGTTCAAATTATTTAGATTTCGGCATTAAATAACGCATAGAGATGTTGATACACCGCTAAACAAAATCAACCAACTAAAATTGAAGGCATACAATTGCGTTCAAAATATATTTAATTGAAGCCATAAAATATTCAGAATATTTAGATTTCGTCATTAAATAACCCATAGAGATTGATATGCCGCTAAACAAAATCAACTAACCAAAATTGAAGGCATACAATAGCGTTCAAAATATATTTAATTGAAGCCATAAAATATTGTTCAAAATATTTAGATTTCGTCATTAAATAACCCATAGAGGTGTTGATACACCGTAAACAAAATCAACCAACCAAAATTGAAGGCATACAATTGCGTTTTAAAATATATTTAATTGAAGTCATAAAATAGTGTTCAAAATATTTAGATTTCGGAATTAAATAACGCATAGAGGTTGATATTCCGCTAAACAAAATAACCAACCAACTTCGAAAGAACTCTTTCATGACATTAATCTATATAATATCTGACAATTTCTTAAAGAAATCAAGCTGTATTCCAAAATATTTCAAGGAAACTACAACAAAAAACATACATATCACAACCTCTAGTAATTACGTCCACACAAACATGTGCAGAAAAGTTGAGTATCATCTACCATTTTCTTTTCAACTGTGAAAGAAGAATAACATATATAGTATTTTTATTACTTCAATGCACCCAAGAAAATTAAATTTTGGCATTAAGTGACCCGTAAGTCCTTGATATGCCGTTGAACAAACAAATCGATCAATCAATACCCGACCTGAACTCGAACTTAGCTTGTTGAGCTCTTATTCCAAACCTCCAACCTTTACATCACCTGTACATCCCAAATCTCTTAATCAACTGATTGCAAATAGACACTGTATCTTTTCTTTACTCAAAACTCTAATTATCATGGCGTCTGTTGCTGTGCAGTTACACTGCATGTTTATACACTGCAAACGTTCGCTAAAGGGCAAAAAGGTCTTTTTACAAACACTTAAGTCATACCGATAAATGCAGATATACTTACGTATAGCCAAGTTGGTTGCAAACGACGTTGCCAATCGTGAGATTCCAATGAAGAGAACAAACGGGTAACCAGGAACCGGAAATAGAATCCTTCACGCGAACTTTCCCGCTTTTTGTACTCGAGCCAAGTTTCACTAAAAGAAGAAGCAAAACAATTGACTGAAAATTCACTTTAATTACTCGAAAGAAGTCTTGCATTTGAATTTTATTAAGGCTGTAAAATTCTAGAAGAAAAATATGAAATCAGTGAGGGTATTTCGAAGACAAATACAACATATTTATTCGTATACAGATTGGTTCAGTCGACTGCTATCTATCTATCGATCGATCGATAGATAAATAGATAGTGTTATAGCATACCTGGACGATAATGGGTATGTCCCCATTCCTTTAAATGCAGTAGGGAATACTGTATGTTGGTCTACCATTTGGAGATTCATTACAAAGTGTGCTGGTCAAAATCTCTGCTTCCGAGCAGAGAGGATTTCCAGACAAGACTATGTCGAAGGGCAGATAGATAAAACTGGATATATTGTCGACATTTTATAGTTTTAATTTCACGCATGTGCGTTTTCTTTTTCTTTTTTTTCTTTTTTTTGTATTTTGTCGACTGTACATTATAGAAGGATCAGTTGAGAAAAAGAGCACCATGACGCAATGCACTGCTTGGCATTCGCACCGGAAGCTCCAATATGAACATTTCAGTGTTTGAGTATCAATTTGAGGAGAGTACAGAGGAATCGGAAAGAGTTAGATGAGTCTAATGGTGATTACGAAGGTACGCCAGCTCGGAAAACTCACTCTGATCATTCTGATAAGGAAAGAACTTCCGAATTTGTTCGTGAGATCCAGACCATGACTGACAACGATGCCTCCAAGTCAATGAGGTCCATAGCCTGGAATACATGAGTGTCTGAGGTACTTATCAGGCAGGTAGTGCTAAAAGACATTTGATATTTCTCATACAAGTTGAGATGTGTTGCTTTTTTTCTCACACAATAAAAACATAAGAATAAGATGGTGACTACACAGAACAACAGTTGGCTTACTGTCTCCCTAAAAAGATGTAACTAGAGTGAGGAAAAACAAATCCAGTCATCATTATGGTGTCTGGAGTGAAATATAGTGTGATGGCGACGTTATGCCTCCATTCGTCTTCTCACGGGGGTCTCAGACTCAACACGGAGACCTACATCAAGTGCCTAGAGGAGGTAATGCTGCCTTGGATCAAGAGGATGGCTACTGAAAGACCCTACACCTGACAACAGGATTCTGCACCAGGTCACACAGACTCAACAGGGAAGGGGCCTACATCAAGTGCCTTGAGGAAATAGTACTGTCTTAGATCAAGAGGATGGATACTTGACAACAGGATTCTGCACCAGGTCACACAAGTAGGAGAAACCAGCCATGGTTGCCAGAAAATTTCTGCGACCACATCACACCTTATATCTGACCACCTAACTGCCCAGACTTCAACCCCCTTGATTATTATGTGTGGGGCTCATTTGTAACACAAAAGATGAAATGAAGGCAATGATTATGGAAGCATTCACCAGTTTAAACACAGACACTGTCCAGGAGTGTTGCAGGAGATTCCGAAGTCATGTGGAGCCTGTGGGTGAAGCTAATGCCGATTATATTGAATACATTTCCTCTTAAGTATTTCAAGATATTTTTGGTTAATTTTGGTAAATATATCCATTGAAAGGGGATGACAGTGTTATTTTAATTTTTACGTCAATAAGATGATAATTTTTTCCATTGCACCCTGTAGGTAGATAGATAGATAGATAGATGGATAAATAATGAACAGACTTAGATAGATAGATAGATAGATAGATAGATAGATAGATAGATAGATAGATAGATAGATAGATAGATAGAATTAACAGACATAGATAGATAGATAGATAGATAGATAGATAGATAGATATGCCATCTAGCTGTAGTTAAAACTTTATTGATAGCTATCATTAAAGCGCTTCGGATTTTATACGAAAATGTGCTAATTATTTTCTCTCTTTCTTTAGCTTTTCTTTTCTTTTTATAATTTATTCTCTTTCCCTCTTTCTTTCTCTCTCTGTTCCTTCTCTTCTTAGTCTCTTCTCTTTTTTGGCCCCATCCAACCCTCTCTCTCTCTCTCTTTCTCTGTCTCTCCCTCTCTCTCTCTCTCTCTCTCTCTCTCTCTCTCTTACCTCTGTAAGGTTAAAAACAATATCAAACTTTTCGAAACTAACATTTAAGGAAATTCAAACTTTCTGTCCCCTCTTTAATAGACTACAGCTAATATTTTCCATAAAGAATTTATGCAAATATCTGTACATATTAATAAATTGTTATGAAAACAAGATCAGCTGTAAAGATCAATGGAAAAGGACACTAAATTTGCATTTTGAATTTAATAAAATATTTAATTTATAAATAAAGAAAGAAAGAATAAATTCGACCGTTCATCGCAGGCGGCAAAAAACGCAACAAAATCCAGAGAAAATGACGGCTTAATTAACTTTGTTGACATTTCGTGATATCAAGAAGGATGCTTAAGCTATTAGTTGACTCTTACGCTATTTTGTAACTTTTTTTTTGGTCAAATCATTAAAAGAAAACCAAAACAGTTTCAACTAATTTTCTGCAGCTTTGTACATAGAACAATATGCGAAAGTCGAACAGATAAATTAACCCTAAATTCACAACGGTACTCTTTTTTTATCGGTATCAGCCGATGCAAGGCAATAAAGCCACTAAGATACAACGGGTTACAGTGTGTAGAAGAATTAGGAGCAGAAACATTAATAATGAGCGAGAAGAGGAAAAAATTAATCAAGAGGATAGTAGATAGCGATTGACATTGCATTTAAATTTTTGCAGATTGAAGTTGGCTGGAAAGCATGGAGCCGTAAAAGAAGAAAGAAGGATGGGAAAAGATTGACATAGATAGATAGATAGATAGATAGATAGATAGATAGATAGATAGACTGAGATAGATCCATAGATAGATAGATGCCAACATAGATAGATAGATAGATAGATAGATAGATAGATAGATAGATAGATAGATAGACTGAGATAGATCGATAGATAGATAGATTTATTTTAATCGCTATCAACCAATGCAAGACAATAAAGCCACTAAGACACAAGGGATTATAGCATGTGGAAGAATTAGGAAGAGAAACATTAATAATGAGTGGGAAGAGGGAAAGATTAACCAGGAGGATAGGAGATAGCGATTGACATTGCATTTAAATTTTTGCAGATTAAAGTTGGCTGGAAAGCATAGAGCCGGAATGGAGTTCCACAAGCGAGAAGTGCGGGATAAGAAACTATTAGCGGTTACATCTAACAATCTCAGCTGTAAATTGATCACATCTCGACGTCCGTCTAGTACTGCGCTGAAATTCTTACAGTCTAGGTACCATAGCAAAGAGCACATCCGAACAATTGCCATGAAAGATGGCAACTGCTCTGACGAGCTATTTTCACTGGTGCCACAAATGGTTGAATTTAAGAGTGTTAAGACAGTGAACGAAGGTTGGCATCTTGCTCCCACCCTTTTACTGTCAAAACAGTTAATTGTCTCTTCTACTCTAACATCTTCTCTCGCACTTCCCGACAATAGGACTCCCTTCCGCTTACTCGCTTCCCTTCAAATATTTAAATGTAATGTCAATTGACATCTTCTGATGCCTTGATCCCCGTCCTTCTCTTTGTCCTTTCCTCAAACACCCCTATTTTTTTTTCTCATAATTTCACTCTTTGTAACCACTTGCATGCTGGTGGTACTCCCGACATGCTTGAGGTGAAATGCTTAAAAAAGACATAGAGAGGCAACCTTACGGCAATAAAAAAAAAGAAAAAGAAAAAAAATGACTGAAGCCGAGCTGATCAAAATATTCAGGACCAATAATGTTTATATCTTTTTCTTTGCCCGATTTTCCCAAGAAGCTCAAGGTAAACATCAAGAGTACCGGACCATATGTGGCAGCAATATTCTACTCATGAACGAATAGTAGACATAAAGATATGCAAGATAGATTCCGGAGGAAAAATTCTCAAAGAGAACAGAGTGAATCAATTTGATGCGTTACATTTGAGAAGAAAAAATCCATCTTCAAAGTTCACAGAAAAAAAAACCAGGAAAATTTTAACTATTAATAAGAAGACAAAATGCTTTGGTCAAAAAGGACATTCAAAATGAAAAAGGGTCGATAATTCTGCTTCATGCAACAATGGCGACCATGGCAGAAAAAAATAGCTAGCTCTCCTTTGCAGTTCTTAAATTCTGTCTATATTTCTGAGATGAGGTATTATGTACATTGTTTTACATTATTCGGACTATTGTCCTCATCTTTGTTGCCATATTTTTTAAAACGTTGCAGCCCTTCAGTATCTGTCTATATTTAAAGATTAAATTATGTAAACTATTTAGATTATTCGGTATATGAATTTTTCATCTTTGTCGCCATATTTATTACAAAAAAAAAAAATACCAGAAATATATTTTTTGAGAAAAAATTATTATGTACATTATTTACATTATTCGGAATATTGTCCTCATACTTTTTGTCACCATATTTATTACAACGTTTTCAATTTTTCAGTATCTGTCTATATTTCTGAGATTTATTATGTACATTATTTACATTATTCGGAATATTGAAAAAAATCTTTGTCACCATATTTATTACAACGTTTCGGTCTTTCAGTATCTGAAAAAATATTTCTGAGATGATAAATATACATTATTTACATTAAAAGGACTATTGTCCTTATCTTTAATCGCCATATTTATTACAATTTTTCGGCCGTTGTACGCTCCGGCCTTCTTCAATTATCTGTCTATATTAAAATAAGAATGATGAGTTTTATGTACACTATTTACATTAATAAACTATTGTCCCAAACTTTGTCGCCATATGCTGGACAACGTTTCGACCATTTAACCCTCCGGCCTTCTTCAGGTGGTTGGAATATCGAACTGAACCCTTTATTTCGCTCACTGGGGTAGACTCATCTAGTTCCACGTGCCAAGTTTAATGAATATCAGTTATCGGTTTCGCTTGTTATTTCTCATCTACAAGTTCTCCAATGCCTTAACCGGGTATTAAACTCACACTCTTTGGGATCTGTCACAGGATCTAACCTAATGCTAGGCCACAAAAATCTCCTGAACCGACCAAACATAGAAATGAATACAATATGGGAACCAGTAATAAGGAGTGTCAGAGAAAAGCGATAACAACAAAAATTGCAATATGAACTCTGGTAAAAACATATATTCATAACAACAAAAATTGCAATATGAGCACTGTTAAAAAAATGTTTGCTGAAGAGATTAGGTTTATAATACCCAGAAATTCATACATAGCTGTCCTCATTGACACATAGCACAGTGGATAAAGGCTTTAGTTCAAAGAAGTCCGACGCGTTGTAATAAATATGGCGTCCAAGATAAGGACAATAAATATGGCGACCAAGATAAGGACAATCGTCCCAGTAATGTAAATAGTGTTCTTAAATTTTGTCTTTCTGCTATTTTTCCTAAATGTTGTTCTGTCATCCATTTACTCAAACTCACCAAGTAAGTTATGCGTTATTTTCCTCTTTCCCTCTTGCCTTCGATCTGTCACGTGAGTATCAGATTTTCCAAGTACTCTTTCCTCGTTATGTGCCCTAGAAATTTCAACCCGCTCTTCCTGATGTAAACACTAAGTTTCCTTTTTTTTCCATATTCTCTAAAGTTTCGATGTTGCTCACATGGTCAGTTCCTGGTATCCTCACCATCCTCCTGCTGAAGCACATTTATGCTGCCTCAAATATCCGCTTCATCTATGGGGAGATTGTCCACCACTCACTGCCATATTGGATGACAGAGATAAGTTTTTCTGTTTCTAAATACTTTACTTAGCTTTTTGAAAACGCACTTTGGTCTTCAGATTTCAGTTCTCTTCAGGCCTTCAGTTCTTTGTTTTAAACATCTAAAGGGATTGATTAAGGTTATTATCTAAATAAAAAATTTTGCAAATGTTCAGATTTTACATTAGTTACTTCAATGAGTTTAAAAAATTGAAAAGGAAAATCTTTAATCTATCGCTAATTCCATAACAAAATAAGACAAAATTTATTAGTTAACAAATAACCACTTCATGATTTTTAAAGTTAAGACTCTCCCTACTCTGTGGCCATTTCCATGTCAAATGTTGAGATGAGATAGATTTTTTTGTAAAACCATTTCAAACCTATACAAAAAATTCTCTCAAAACAAAATTTAAATTTCTCTTTTCTCTATTTTTTTTTCTTTTTCTCAATTCTTTCTCTTTTCTCTCTCTCTCTCATCTCTCTCAATCTCTCTCTCTCTCTATAAAGCCATTTTTCCAGATGTTGAAAAAATGGTCAAAAGAACAACATTCCTTAGTTCCACCAGTTCAGATCTTGAAAAGATAAGCCTCTTTTTACTTATTTAATGTGAAATCGAAAATTGGAGTTTATGGACATTTCTTAGTTCGACCAGTTCAGACATTTACAGATATATGCCTCTCTCTACTCTATCGCTATTTCCAAAAAAATGTTCAGACGAGCTAAAAATTCGTTAATTCCACCAGTTCAGACCTTTACATTTAAGCCTCATTTTGATAAATATCGCCATTTCCATGGCAAATTATTTGACGAAACATTTCTTACTTCCACCAGTTCAGACCTTTACATCTAAGAATTCTCTCTACTGTATCGTTATTTCCATGGCAAATGTTCAGATGAATATACATTCCTAAATTTCCACCAATGTTCCAGACCATTACAGCTAAGCCTCTTATTTACTCTATCAACTATTTCCATGGCAAATGTTCAGATGAGCTATTTTCCTTAGTTCCACCAGTTCAGACCTTTACATCTAAGCCTATTAAAGGAACTCTAAGAATATTTAAATGGCAAATGTTCAGATGAGCTTCTTTCCTTAGTTCCACCAGTTCAGACCTTTTACATCTAAGCTCTCTCTACTCTAAGATTATTTCCATGGCAAATGTTCAGATGATTACATTCCATAGTTCCACCATTTCAGACCTTTACATCTAAGCCTCTCTCAAACTCTATCGCTATTTCCATGGCAAATGTTCAGATGAAAGCTACATTCCTTAGTTCCACCAGTTCATAATTACAGCTAAGCCTCTCTTTAATCTATCGCTATTTCCATGGCAAATGTTCAGACGAGCTACATTCCTTAGTTCCAACAGTTCAGGCCTAATTTCGTTATCCCAATGCCGTTCGAATTTTGGTGTGGTACTTTCCGTCCTCTTCTAAAACATTTCCCAAATATTTAATTTTTTGTAATTGTTTGATTTGGTATTTCCAATTTGGAATTTGTATTGTGGGCTTATATCGTAACCATGCATTCCGTCATCATGCAGGAACAGACAGTAAAGCGCCAAATTTGTTGTCTATGAGAATCCCCTTCTTTAGAAACAAGTATATTCAGAAAGACCAGTGGATTCATAGAGAACGGATCGGTTGGAGGGATTTGTGATATTTTTCTTACAAATTCTGCAAAATATGAATGCGGATAAGACCGTTCTATTCACCTGTTGGATTATTTTTAAGAAAGATGAATAAACCTTTATGCAGTATGATGTGATATTCCATCTGAAATCTTTCTCCTTTTTTTAACCCGTAATAATTAATTAGTGAACTATTTTTGAAAAGAAAGATTGAATTCTATTTAGAAATGCATTAAAAATTCGTATCCGGAACATTCGCTGTTAAACATATTAAATTTATGAATTTTATTCGTTTTTGGAATTTTCTAATTCGTAGAAAACATCGCCGTATATCTTTTGGAAATGAATAAGAGGAATGGAAGCGCGATAAAAAAATATTAACTTTAAGATATTAAAATGGCCGTGCGTCTCGAAAGGACCTCCAATCGAAATTTGTGAACTGGGGCAAGAATTGGATGGTCAATTTTAATGCCTCAAAAACAAAAACTCTCTATTAATTACCACAGAAATCCTTCCCTGCCCTCCATTAGAATATCTGACGCTCAACTTCTCGAGAGCACCTCTCTGCGGCTGCTCGGTCTCACGTTGACTGCTGACCTGAGATGGAACA